ACAATTCATGGGAATATTATTATTGGACATGGTTAAGATCTTCCTCTATCAGTATCCTATGGTACACCCCCCTCCAATTTGTATCCACCACCCGCATATATTTGTATAATGTTAGCTATATAATTCCCAAATAATTTGCAAGATAAACTATAGTCTTTATTTTACTTTAAGTGTATCCATACACAAAATGCTGTTGATCCTTTTGATCTCAAAAAGTTATTGAAGCCTTACAAAAAATACCATAATGAAGACTCTCCAATTCAGAAATTCATCTACTCACCACTGGAATGTCAGGATCTCCATCTTCATCTTCACTCTCGCTAGCTAAAAAAATGTTGGAATTGAAGTCTAATAGCAACCCTGCACTTGGTTCATTTCCACCAATATATCTATTTACAATATTTGTATTTGAGTCCAATTTCACAAATCTAAGCTATAGGCAAAACTTACTCATTGTGGATGTTTCTAGTTACTACCAGAAAACCAAATCAATTTCACTACCACAACATGAAATTAAATTATATGGTTCCAAAAACTCTTTCTTGCTTGAGAACCCTAAGTCACACTTAGACAATGACAATAATGATGAATGGGATGTTGTATGGGTCATCTTGCCACATATATAACCTGCATGTATGACCCATCATTTTATAGTCAAAATGTATATATGCCCATCTCATTGGCATCTAGACTTCATCCAATTGGAGAATGCCACCTAGACTATGCTACGTGTGCAGGGATTTACAAATAAAATGCCATATTCTATAAACAAAGATAAGATGGCAATACAAAGTGCCACCATATGGATTCCTTAAAGTTATTCATCCTTCCTCATTTCTAATGTAAAGTTAAGAGACATAAGTGTATAGTAAACGAGTTCTTGAGAAAGGTTGCATATAAGTTTAATAGTGGTAGCACCAAAGCTTTGCTTGGAGCACTTCCTTATATTCAGGTGTCTCATTTGATGTGATGTTAATTTATGCTCATTTTTCTTTTCTTATGAGCAATTATGGTCTGGATATTGGTGTAGACGAGCAAAAACTTCAAGCAACGATGGACAACTTCCACATTTGCCTCACCAAATGCAAATTGGCATGCTTTCCATTTTTTTTCATGTGAATGCAACTTATAGTATCCAATTATATTTTCTTGTTCGCAGGTCTTTAAAAGCCTTGAATACAAAAACTAAGCAATCTTCAAGCTTGGCAAAATTATGTCTCCACATTTTTGCATTGTAGTTCAGTGCATTTGGTGAACAAATTGAGAAAGAGCTAAAGGAAGCTAATGTTTCAAGCCCTACTTTTATTCTTTGACTATGGAAGATGTTGTAGCAAGAGTTGAAAAACTCTGAACACAAAGTATTTATTGTTGGAAGCGCTCCAAGTGGTTGGGCACTCCAACCTTTGCTTTGCAAAATAGTAAAAACTCAAGTACTTACAGATGGGGAAAAAATGCACTTAACCCTCAAAAATCTAGTAGATGTCATGTAGTGTTAAATTTGTCCAACATAGACTTTTGGTAAATCCCTTAAGAGGCAATTATAACCTTATGTCATTGTTTGTGGTGGATCCAAGGCAAAAAGGGTAAAGCCAAACCTGGTAGCTATTGCTAGCAATCCATTTCTTAACATTTGCTTTTGAGTTGTTAATTATATCCAGTGATCTTATAATTTCTGCATGCACCTATGCTATATAAGTTTTTCTAACCTCCTGATAACATTTTTTTCCAAGCATCAAGTATGCACTGCTAGTGTCAAACATTGTTGATTCATGAGTGCTACAATTTATAGTTCTAGAGCCTATAGAAATGTTTTCCATGTTCACCCCCTAGTGATTTCCCTTCACATAATCTCCAACTTCAATAAATTTTAACTTCAAATCAGCCAGCCCATCTAAAATTTTTTTAGTCCCTGTTAACAAGCCGTCATTTCCATATAAAATGCAAATCTCCACAGCTTTTATATTTGCCATTCGACCCATCTGCTTAAAGAACAAGGACCAATCCAATCCAAGAGAGAGTACTCCATCCATAATTTCCAATTTCCCCCACAGAATGGCTCATAAAAAATTTAAATAACTCACCAGAACTTTACCACTTCCATTGTTACCACTGATCTTAACATCTCATGCTTCCACCATTACACCATTAATCCCATATTTTCTATTTCCACACTCCACTTAGATATTGCAAGTTCCGCCCCAAAACAAAAATTTAGTTTTTGTAAGCCTTGTAGGATTGGCTACAAAATCATAACACTATGCCTTTGTTACCAAGCTAAAAATTAAGGCCATGTCACTGAATTTTCCCTATTTGCCCAAGTAAACCTACTCCTGATGTCTAGCTTCAGCCAAAACATTAAAGCAGAGTTTGAACTAGTAAGAATGGCAAATTCCACATGAGGTATATGGGACTCATCAAACATGACTTCAAAGGATAATATTGTAACCCAAAGAAGTGCTAGTAGGCCTGATATGAAAAAACTCCTTTTTATTAATTTATAAGATAGAAGTTATATTTCCAATTAAGTTGGAAATCTCAACTTTACAACTAGCATTGAAGCATGAATTAAATGATAATAAAGACTTGGAATTGAGGCTTATTCAACTTGAAGGGATAGATGAGAATCAACATCAAGTTCTTCAACATATAGAAGTAATTCAACAAAAAAGAAACTTTAGATTTGATAAGAAATTTGTAAAGGTATTTTAAATTGGAAATCTAGTTATAAAATATAATAGTAGAATTGATAAAATATTTATGAAATTTTTTTTCCGTAATAATGGGATAAGATAACCTATATCAATGGACTATACTTGCTAGTAAATCTTGATAGAGAAAAATATGACACTCAAGTGAATGGATATAGATTGAAAATATTCTATATTCAATTATTAGACAACATTACTATTGGGTGTAAGTTCCAAAATTTGAACTTCCCGAAAAGTCACCCAACCCAATACTATTTAAACCCAAAGACGCTTAACCTTAAGTAAAAAAAAAAGTGCACTTTTATTCATAGGTTTTTTCCTTTGATATTTTAACCCTATGGATTATCTTTTAAATTGTTCTCTTTAGTTGCTTATAATCCACTACACTTCTTTGCAATTTCATGCCCTCATGAATGGAAGTTGAGAGCTATAGCTCTCCTGAGAACCTTACTCTCTTAACACCCTACCTTTCAGGTCAAGCCCAGTTGGAATAAATTAGACCTGCCAAATGTCAATCAAGATGTAGTGCGATTCCCTTAAGCCAACCAACATAATTGAACTTGAGACCCACTCCAATACAAATATAAACTCATGAATTTGGACTTTCTGGGAAGTCACTTAACCTAGTACTAAGGATGATTAACCCCAAGTATTCGAAGCCCCTTAAGCAATTAGAAAAGGGGGTAAACTCTTATTTATGGGCCCTTTCTTTCTATATTTGAATTTTATGGATTGTCTTTCAAGTTGTTCTCTTTGGTTATTTATATTGACTTACAAATAACCAATATAACTTACAACTATACATCTTATTTGTGTAAGATTATGTGACAGGAAAAATCTTCAATAAAAAATGCTATATTCAAAGTCAAGATATATATAAATTATAACTACCTTTTCTCTATAACCTAATATTTGAAGTTAAATTCAAAAACAAGTGAAACTAAATCCCTTCAGAATTACTCTTTCCTTTCTATATCTATTTTACTCTATCATAAATTTTATCTTCCACCAAATTTATAAAATGATTTCCAACTTTGCAAAGATTTTGTTCACCATTCAAAAATGTTTTCTTATTTAATATATGCATTTAACAATGGTCATCTAAATCTACCACCTTTTTTATACCAATATTTTATAATATTAACAATAAAACATAAAATATAATTTAAGGACTAAGGAACCTTTCATAACACAAAGGGGGTAATATATTTATCCAATCAGGCATCCAATCAATTAATGTGGCACCAACCAATTTTACTAGTCATATTTAACTATTCTTATAACTCTAGAGCCGGCTTCCTCTTCGAATCTGCTCGAGCGAGGTAGCATCCAGCCTCTTGATTCGCGCACTGGAGCCTTACCCCTCAGGAAAAACTCGCGCCTCGAGCTTCTCCTGCTTCGAGAGGTCATCAACCGAGCCAACAAGCCTTGGGCTGTGCTAAAGAAAAACCAAACACAAAATGGGATTCACTAAAATGAAATCACAAACCTTGTCAAGGTTTGAAGTGATCTATCTACCTAGATATGGCGATACTTGGATAGATTCTTGTGTGGGTCGCTACTATATGTTTAAGGTGACCATTGGTTTTGAGATACAAGAAGGCAAGGTATTTGAAATTCTTTTCTGTTGATCTAATGTTGATCTAATGTCTATCTATATTGCGCTGTCCGATTTAGATGTATTACACAACTGAACCGGATGTGCATGGAAATTAAGCGTCCAGTTGCGTTTGCCATTGCCGAGCTTCTCGAGTCCATTCCCTTGTTCATGTGGAGGTTGAATGTGTATGGCGGTCGGTACCAAACTTCAGAGCTGCCTGCTTCAAGCAGGTTTGTGCTTGTCAAAAGCCATCCATTTAATGATCGAACTTGATGCGTGAAGGAAAAATCTGAAGGAAAATGGACGAGAGTGAGTGCTGCTGTACGGAAGGGACGACTTTGAGCGAGTGCTGGAACTTTTTGCTCTTTGTGCATGTCCTCGTGTTTAAGAATGAATTGCAAAACGAAGCGCAGACGAGAAACACTAAGGCTGAAACGGAGCAGTTGATACGAGAGAACAAATTATCCTGAGTTGTGCCGATACATGGGCAGGAAGGACAAACTAAGAGCGTTCGTGGTGACTCTGTAACTGGACCCTCACGGACTTTCATTGAAAGTAGGTGTTTTTAGTGAAAGCTGGCAGTGTTTCTGTGAACGCTTACACTATAGCACACTTTGTTCTCGGTCAAGGTGCATCAATGAAAACTTTGATAAAGTGAATCTCTCCTGCAAGACCTTATATTTGGGTCTATTATGGCTACAGCGCCAGTGCTTTGCTGCGCGCCTAGCGCTCGGCTCGACCTCTCCGGCAAGCGCGTTGTGGTAAGCATTGCTTCATATGGATTCACACATTCCTTCGCCTCTCACAGGTGGTTGGATTGGGTTCCTCCGGCAGGGCTGCGATCAGGCTTGCCCTGCTTCGTGGAGCCAGTGTCATTGCCGTGGACAAGAATGACAAGCTTGCGCCTCTCAAGGTAAAGTGGAGTTTTGTTTTCTCGTGCTAGAACTTTTTTTCTTTCAAGGAAGATCCTGCATTCCATGGCTATGAAATGGATCGGGTCAGCACCGAGCTCGGTCCTCATCAACTGGAAACGTTCCTCAGTGCTTCCAGAATTGTTGTCTCGCCAGGAGTTCCACTTAGCGAGCCCATTCTCGCCTATGCCATGGACTCGGTAAGTTCGTTTTTGAGTATCAACGGAGCTCCTAGAAAAAAATATTTCCAGGGCATTCCAACGATCTCGGAGCTCGGATTTGCTGCTGAAGCGTTCCCGAAAGCTGTGAAAATTGCTGCTGTGACAGGCACCAACGGAAAATCTACGGTCACGACCTTTACTGGTCAGGTAAAGTTGGTTGTTGCTCGCTTTTTATCTCCTCTTGTCCATAGCACAGATTTCGTGGTGGAATAGATTTTGCAGCAAGCTGGAGTGCGGACTTTCGTAGGAGGAAATCTCGGGACACCATTCTCTGATGCTGCGTGCGAGTGTTTTATGTTTCCTTCCGACGATCCTCCTTACCAGGTAAGTGCTTGAAGTTTTTGGTATCGTTGCTTCATACGGTGGCTAACTCCAGGCAGCGGTTTTAGAAGTTAGCAGCTATCAACTGGAGCTTCCGGGATCTTTTTCTCCGTCTGTGAGTACTGCCCTTCCTTGCATTCTGAGTTTTTACTGTTTTTGTGATGCGCAGGTTGGCGTGATTCTTAACTTGTCGCCCGACCACTTGGAGCGCCACAAGAGCATGGAAAACTATGGCGAGACAAAGTGCCGGCTGTTTGAGCGTATGGATTCCTCGAAGTTATCCATCATTCCTCATGGTAAAACTTTCTTGCGTCTGGACATTGAAATCGATATAACTATGGTGTCTTTAATATTTTCCATGTTGACATGAGTTTTCCACAGGGGACGAGTTCCTGAGAAAGGTTGCATATAAGTATAACAGTGGCAGCACCAAAGCCTGGCTTGGAGCACTCCCTGGCGTTCAGGTGTTCCAGTTATTTATTTTGTATTTCTCTTTGGATGTGCTGCTAAGTTGTGCTCATTTATCTTCTCATTTCTCAGCTTGATAACCAGGCAAGGCGAGCCGTCGTGGTGGTTCCAACAACGAAAGCTGAAGCCCGATTATATCTCAGTGGATTGAAAGCTGTTGGTTCCCACAATGCTCAGAATGCTGCGACTGCTTCCTTGCTCTCTCTTGCGCTAGACCTTGGTGTCGACGAGCACAAACTACAGGCAGCGATTGGACAACTCACACCTTTACCTCATCGGATGCAAATTGGTATGCTTTCCATTTTTTTCGTTTCTCATCGCTTGTTCTTCTAGTTGGACAAGACAAGAAAGGTGTTTTGTGGATCAACGACAGCAAGGCCACGAATGTGGATGCAGCTTACACGGGCATCAAAGGCCTCGCCGATCGAAAAGCTGTTATACTCCTCGGAGGTCTCGCAAAGGTAAGTTAAAAACTACTTTAAAAACTGTGACAACGTCTCATGTCATTTCTCTTGCTCGCAGGTCCTTGATCAGGATGGAAGCCTTGGATTCAAGAAACTAAGCGATCTCCTACAAAATCACAGGGCCATCGTCACAGTAAGCCTCGGGAAAACTGTGTCCATGCTACTCACGTTTTCCCGTTGTAGTTCGGTGCATTTGGCAAACAGATCGAGAAAGAGTTGAAGGAAGCCAACGTTTCAATCCCATGCTTCCGTTCCCTGACCATGGAAGATGCTGTAGCTATAGCTGAGAAACTCTCCAAACAAGGTATTCATTGCTGGAAGCACGCTTTCTTTATTCATCTCATCATCTTTACAGGAGATATTATTCTTCTCAGCCCAGCTTGTGCCAGTTTTGACGAGTTTCGCAACTTTGAGCATCGAGGGGAAGTGTTTGGACAGCTTGCAACTCGATACATAACATCGACGACGTAAAGTTCAGTTCTTCTTCCTCACGGTACGTGCGATAGTCTGGCTTCTTGCAACTACTTGTGGTGCTTGTTTCCAGGATCCAAGTGCATGTTTCTGGATCGCGAAGCTGGCCTTGATAAGCATTGGACAAATTTTCCCGAGGTAAGAATGCCATATCTTTGTGATTCTCTAATGATCTTCCATTGTTGCGACGTTTGGAAGTAGAAAACTTTGTCAATATATGGGAGTTCGAGTGGTCATATCTTCGCTCTAGCAAAGCTCATGGCCAAATGGCGACCAAGAACAAAGAAATCGAATCGTATGCCTCGCTGCTAAAGTCTTGCGGAGAGTCGAGAGATTTAGCCGAGGGAAAGAGCGTGGTTGTATGCATTGCCAAGAGCAATAGGAGGAATCTTTATCTCACCAATCTCACCATTGAGATGTATGGCAAGTGTGGATGCTTTGACGCCTTGGTAGCTCCAAATTCCCACTCCTGGAATATTCTCCTCACGGCATATGCCCAAAACGGGCATATCCACGAGGCGATGCTTTTGTTCGAGAGAATGGCAGTGAGAGATGCTGTGTCCTGGACAGTGATGCTCAAAACGCTGGCCCAGCACGGCCGGATCGAGCTAGCGATGCTACTCTTCCAAAAGATTCCACACAAGGATCAAGTCGCGTGGAATGTTCTCCTCTCGGCTCTTTGCGATTCTTCGAATCCGTTCCAGGCCGTGGACTTCTTCGAGAAGATGCCCGAGAAGGATTCTGTGTCGTGGAACACGATGATCACGCTCTTTGCCCGAGCTGGAGAGATCAATCAGGCAATAGATATGTTCAAAGGAACTCCAGGGTCGTTGCCAGGAATTGGAGAAAGGTTTACTTTAGAACAGGAAGGTAGGCCTACAGGAATTTAGAACAGGGAAGGAAGTAGACAAGAAATGGGTAACCAGAGCAGCCGGTCACTCTCGCCAGGAGAAAGTTTGAGCAGCATAGATCTCAGCGAGTACGAGAGAGTATGTGCCATGGATCCAGACGTGAGAAAATTTGGGGATGGGACGAACAGAAAGGGTGCTCCAGAGCATGGTGGCCGGGGTGGACGAGAGGGGACTTTCATTCCAGTCGTTAAAGGATGTGACCACCAGCTTTTTAGAGCTCGACCAGGAGGTTGTGAACGTAATTCTCAACTACAAGAAGGACGTGTGGGCAAGCGACTCGCTGTTTGAGCTGGTCAAGGACTACTTCGACAACAGCATGGCTACGCTAGACTTTTGCGAGGAGCTAAACAAGTGTATCAAACAGGCCAGGGAGAACCAGATGTCGATCCAGGTAGCGATCAACATGATGCCCAGCGAAGGAGATCCAAACGAGGAGCAGTGCCAGGCAATTCTCAAAGAGCTCAACCAGTACGTGGACGCCGGCAACCCCTTCACGGACGAGTTCATGGAGAAGTTCCAAACCGTCTACCAGAAGCAGATGGAGCTGCAGAGAAAGCTTCAGGCGAAGAAGAAGTCGCTGGACAGGAAGCTGCGGTATGTCCGCGGCTGGACGAAGGTGTCGACGATCATCTACGCTGCGACTTGCGCGGCGCTGGTGATCTGTGCGGTGGTGGCGGCGGTGATGACAGTCCCAGCGATCGTAGGGGCGGTGGCAGCGGTATCGTCGATGCCACTCGAGAAGATGGATCAAGTCCTTCCTCACCAAGTACGAGAAGGAGCTCCAGGCACGCCGGGATCTGATGAGAGAAGCGAACTTCAAGACGTCTGTGACGATCAAGGAGATGGACACGATACGAGCGCTCATCAACAGCCTCAGGAACTCCATGGAATCGATCGTCCACTGCATACAGTTTGGGCAGAGGCACGCGGACGGCTTTGGCATGCATCTGGTGGTGGAGCAGCTCAAGAGCCGGCAGAGCGCATTCATCCGGGATCTGGACGAACTGGAGGAGCACGTCGATCGCTGCAGCAGGGACATCCGGAGGGCCAGATTGGTGGTTCTTCGCCGGATCGTCAAGAAGAGATCCAAGAGCTTGTGAGAATTGGTGGACAGCTCTCGCGGCTCGCCAGGATGATCGTTCGAAGTAGCTTCTCCATCCTCGTCTGTGCTCCAAAGTTTCGAGAAAACAAAAAAACATTGATTCATTGTAAATAATATTGGTCAACAGTTAGGTCAATAAATTTTCAATAGTCAGCCCTAAGTCAATGATAAAAGGGTCAATAAAAGTCAATGAAAGCGGTCAACAGCTTTAAATGCCCGCCCCCGAGGAGGCATCGCTGGCCACCGCCATTGCAGCACAGGCAGCGCTGGCAACAAGGTGAGCACATCGATTCTCCCCTCGCGCCTCAAGGCGTGCACCAGCTCCGGTGACATCAAGGCTGGGCGGATCCTCCACGCCTGGGCCAAGAGCAGCGGCGACGATGCCAACATCCACGTCGCCACCGCGCTCGTCAATCTCTACTGCAAATCCGGCTGCCTGGCCGAGGCTCGATCAGTCTTTGAGGCAATGCAGGCCAAGAGCACCGTCGCCTCCACGGCGCTCATGCTGGGATACATCGAGGGCGACCAATCCGACGTGGAGCTCGACATTAGGCTCTTGCTATAGTAGAGGGATTTTATGTTTCTAGATGGGAACCACAAGATCTAAAACAGGTCATAGAAAAATAATATTCTAGGGAAGGAAGTCAAAATGAAATTATAAGAAACAAAGAGAATAATTAATTAATGTTTTAAAATAGAGTTTTCCAACAATAAAAAATTCTACAATATATGTATATTTATTAAATGGATATTATTTATGCTCAATTCAATCCCTTTGAGAAAAAGAATCAAAAAGATCAAATTAAGGAAAACAACTGTAATTCAAATTTGAGAATTTCACCTAATCAATTTCTTCAGATTTTCCCTGTGTACTCCAAACTTGAATCGACAATGAACATACAACTATATCAAGCATTGCACGAACTGGTCGACCTGGACATTTTCATTGTATCCACACTTCCAAAACAGGTCCCTCAGCTTTTGGATGGCAACCACGAGACCAGCCCGCTTGCATTTCTTTATAACCTCCTTCTTAAACTCGGATTCCAGAGAAAAACACCTTGTCTTTCTGTCAGCCGCCTCAGTGGGGGTAACAGCTCGCCCCCAGTAAGTCTTGCCTTGTAGCGCGAGAAACACCACCACGTAAAAAAGACACTCCAAGTCACTTGACAAGCACAACTTCCCATTAAGAAGCGTCTGAACTGCTGCGAAGGTAAGGGTGCCCACTGCTTTACCTGGTAAACCACCCGTGACCGCCGAGCCAAAGTCGACCAAGTAGGGATGAATGCCACCATGTCGATCAGTCCCATACACGATGTTACCGATCGAAACGTCTCCATGAACAACACCCTCGCGGGATAAACGGCCCAGTGTCATAGCAACCCCTCTAGCCAGGCTCAGGATTGCTTCAGCTTGCATGTCCAGCGTTATCTGCTGACAGTATCTCGTTACCAAGTAGCAATCCCGGTTTTGTAGCTTGCCACTGTAAAGAATAGGCAGCACACCGGCAACCTTCTTCTCAGTAAGCATGCCAAGAACGAAAAGCTCATCGTCCATACCCGGGCAGATCTTCACTGCAACGTCTGTCAAGCTCTGTCCCTGTACCAGATTTGCCTTATAAACAAGGCAACCTCGATCTGAAGGAGAGGCATGCTTACGACCTTTGAGAGCGACGGCTTTCATGTCCTGCAGATAACTCCCATCCGCCAAAGTTATGCGGCCCTGCATCTGTGGAGGAGGACTGAATCCATGCACACGCCCGTCGCCCAGCAGGATTCCGACAAGCAGTCTGAGGCCAAATCCCTCCTCGAGACCCCAAGGATATCGTTGTGTAAATGTAAACTGATTCTTCTCGTCGGCCATATCCAGCTTCTGAACCTGGATTTCCCGTCTACAAAGCAACACCGCATACGCAAACTTCCTGCTCGATTGGGCCACCTTTATAGCATTTAGCCTTGCTGTGGTTTCTCCCAAACATTCCGTGTATACTTCGGCTAACTCGTCCTTGAGCTCCATGACAAAAGCCACCAGCGACCACGATAGAGCGGCCGTGTCCGCAGTGCGAAAAGAGTAGTCCGGTTTATCTGAAGAACCGGGAATACCAGACCTGCTCGTGTCCTGCGCTATGCAGCCCATCCGATAACTTGCATTTTCTTCACGGCTTCCCTGCTCCAAGATGCGAATGATCCTGCCAATTGCCAGCTGAACTTCTATCTCGTCGCCTCGAATATATCTGTAACCCAGATCCTCCTTGCGATATCTCTCGCATTTGGAGCCGTTATCATCCATCTCTTTGTCGCGAGTCCGAGCCTCTTCCAAAGCGAGATCAATCAGACTTTTCTGTCCAGCTTGTTCAAGAAGATAAGTCATTGCTGCCCCCAGTTGCGGTGCGTCTGTAAACTGACTTGTGATCTCCGAGGAGCATGAAAAGTTGTAGTCGTCGCTTTCTATTACTTGTTTACCGATGCCAACATACGACGTCGTAGTTTTCTGACGCTTGGCCAATGCCTTTTCTGTGGCCGCCTCAACCATGCGCTCGATCTCTATAAAAGCACAGAGAGATGACTGAAAATATCAGATCACGCAACGTACCGCTACTTGCTAATCCTCCAGCGGTAGAAGCTTTCCACCCGCGGATCACGATCGGGGTCTGCTGAGAGCGTCCGTCACCAAGCCCAGCAGACACCGCAAGCTGCCTGATCACCTCCAACTCCATGGCGCCCGGCACTAGAGCAAAAAGGCCTAGACGCAAGGTAGCAGGATCCAGACCCCACGAGCCAGCAATGCTGGCAATCGGAAGATCGCCCTGCAGCAACGGAAACCACAGCGCTTCATCTCCCCCCGCATGCCGCACCCAAATCCCCTCCATGGAAAACCCTAAACTATCTATATATATGGCCCAATAAAATATCCCAAGAATAGTGGATGGCCTGGAATCGGAGAAACTCGTTGTCTTTGCCTGGGTCTTAACAATGGCTTCTGTTATTAAGGAGAGCAAATCTCATACAAGAGACATGTTGATTACAATCCTATACATCTTGTACACTTGACCAAGGCACTTGCTAAGGTCTGACCTGTTACTGGACTTGTATATCAAAGCATGCATTGTGTCGAACATTTGGAACCACTTCTATTTGGTGTTGGAAGTTCTCATGAATTTCCTTCATGAGAATTGAGGGAAGAATTAGATATGTGATGGAGGTATTTTTTGCAGAACGTTTACAGGTCAAGTGGATGGAGTTTGTACCCAACAATCCCAACACATACAAAATTGAGACATGACGTTGTTGTTCAGCCCAACAATATAGGCTCGTTTGTTTTCCTGGAAACATCTTCTGGTTGGAGACATAGTCTGTTTGGAGAATGGCATAACCTATGTTCTTGTC